CTGCCAGCAGTTCAATTCTGACCAGCTCAAGATTGACTCAGCCTTCCATCCTTCTGAGGTGGGTAAAATGAGGACCTAAATTGTTGGGGGCAAGAGGCTGACTCTGTAAAACCGCTTAGAGCCCTATAAAGCACTGTGAAGCAGTATATAAGTCTACGTACTATTCCTTCCTTCCTTCCTTTCCTTCCCTCCCTCCCTCCCCCCCCGAATGCAGTATTGCAGGCTAACTCTGCCAGCAGTTCAATCCTGACTGGCTCCAGGTTGACTCAGCCTTCCGTCCTTCCGAAGTGGGTAAAATGAGGACCCAGACTGTTAGGGGAAAGAGGCTGACTCCGTAAACCGCTTAGAGAGGGCTGGAAAGCGCCGTGAAGCGGTATAAGTCTACTGCTATCCACGATAAAAGGGAGCACAACAGCCCTGCAGGGGAAACCTCTACATTGCGCAGCCAGATGGGCAGTGTTTAAATTTGAAAATAAAAAAATACAATAAAAACAAATAACAACTAAGGGGAGTCCTCGACTCACCACAGTTCACTGAGTGACAGTTCTAAGTTACAACGCCCCTGGGGGAAAAAAAGTGACTTAGGACCGTTTTTCACACTTACGGCCGTCGCAACGTCCCCCAGGGTCAAGCGATTTTAAAATTTCAGGTGCTTGGCAATGGGTTCATATTTATGACGGTCACAGTGACCCACTGTGGGGACCCTTCTGACAAGCCAAGTCAAAGCCAGATTCACTTAACAACCGTGTGACCTATTTGACAACTGTGATTCGCCTAATAACAGTGGCAAAGAAGGTCATAGGATGGGGCAAAGCTCACTTAACAAATGCTTCCCTTAGCCACAGAAATTTTGAGCTCGTTTGTGGTAAGTCAAGGACTACCTGCATTTACAATTGGGCTGTTTTGCAGCCTTCTAACGATGCATTCAGGTTCTCATTTTAAACTAAAGGGAAGCCCGCCCCCCCCATCTGAATCAGTGTCACGCCCCTGTTGGAGTCTGAATCCAAGGAGGAAGACGAACAACTGACACAGGGAGTGGGAGTGTGGCTCCGTTGGCTGTGGAGGAAACTGGGGAAGGGCAAAGTCCGGCTGGGCAGAGCAGGAGGGAGGGAGAACAAGGGAGAGGGAGTTTGGAGGAAGACCCAGGCCCACCCCCTCTTCATTCTAGGGCACGCAGGGAGGAACGGAGAAGGGAGCAACATGAGTTGCATGGCTTACGGGGGGAGGAAAGGGCCCTGAATCCCTTCATTAGCCACAGCTGGGAAGAGTTTAAAAGAGATGCAAGCTGAGTGCTGCAGCTACTGGGAGCAAACCTGACTTAAATTGTTGACTTTAGCTATCTATGTTCCTGGTGTCCTCCCAACCGTGTTGAGTTATTGCCGTTCCTTCGGGTCTGGAATTCTTGCTCCTGCCCTGCCAGACTAATTACCTCATTTTGCCTTGATTGGACTTATAATTACAGTTTTTGTTGACCACGTTTTGGACTTGATTCTCTGCAGTCAAAGGCTGTTCCTGGGAGTGTTTTTCTCCAGCCAGAAGGTAATGAGGACATTGGGGGCAAAGTTGGAGCTAATAAAGGGACTCCTACTGATCATCTGACTGTGTTGCCTTTGTGCCACACCCCTCTGGGTCATCACAATCAGTTTCAAAATATAAAGGAAAGAAAAAAAGGAATAGAAAATCTTTTTTTTAAAAAAAAAAAAGTTGACACAGATTTGTAGTCGTAGTCACATAAAATCAGCCTCTAGTCACAACAGTTGGGAATTGCAATCTCCAATTCATTAAGACTGCCGAGAAGCAACACAGAAGCTTTCAAAAAAAAAAAATTATGACGGAATAAAACCCTCTCTTAATTCTTCTTCCATTCTCCTCAGGAGGAAGTTTCTGAACACGGAGTACCACAGTTATTTGTAATAAAAGAAATACACCGATAATAATTCTGTTTCCAGAATATTTTTGTGGAGAATAGGCACAGCCAGTATTAAGTGAGACAAGGTTTTCTTTTTTTTTAAAAAAGGAAGCTTTTGTAGATTTCAACTTGATTGTTGACAGAGTTTTTTATAAAGTTTTCATCGCAATCTACTTTTGAACTAAAATTCTGCATTTCAGCTCTTTTTAAGGAGAGGAAAGGTAGAATGCAAACATCCCTGTTTCTTAAATTTTTGGATAATGCTGTGGAGAGGAGCGGGTGGGGATTTAAATGCCAAACAATAAAAAAAACTTTTTTGGTTTGTCTTCGCCTGATCTCTTCCTTTTTCTCCTGCTTTTCCAAAAACCGAAAAGGGGGCGATTTCAGGGCTTTGCAGCTTTATACTGCAGGCCTGGTAATTTAAGCTTTCCTACTTAAGAGAGCAAACTGAGAGCGTTTTTGATGTGGAAAATGCAGATATAACAAATGCAATTTATATTCCTCAAAGAGCAGATTCAGCTGAGATACAAGACTACTCTTTCAACCGTTTTATCTATTTATTTAGCCACCAACCGCCTCTCCCCTATATTTCAAAATCCTCCCAGTTTACAATACAGGTAGTCCTCCACTTACGACCGTTCGTTTAGTGATCTTTTGAAGTTGCAACGGGACTTATTAGGACCGTTTTTCACACTTACGACCACTGCAGGAAGAAAGGTTCTAAAATGGGGAGCAAAAACTCGCTTGACAAATGCTGTTCCCTTCACCACAGAAATGTGGGTCGCACATCGAGGGCTATTACCAGCGTTATCGGTGTTACTGAATGCTGGGACCCCCATCTAAGCCAGAGATCTGGAGAATAAGAGCTCAGGCTTTGCACACAGAAAAAGCATATGGGGCTAAACTCAGACAAGCCCCCCTCCTCAATCCCCCCTCCCCAAAAAAGAACCCAGACTCGTGGGAGCAACACAGAAGCGGCATTTACAACGCGACACAAGGCTTCCTCTGTTTGGGTGGCTGGGTGGAAATCCACTCCCCCTTCAGGGGGTCCATGGGCCACAGGCAGCTAGCCAAGAATAAAAGTTTATCAAAGCCCATCCTTTGGAGGCTCCATGACCTAGAAAGGAGAGGGGGGTGGGGGGAAAGGGGTGAGGGGGGGTGTCGGCCCCTTCTATCTATTGTTAAAGATGCCATCTCCCCAAACTGAGCGCGCAGCCCTTCCCATGTTTTCCTTCTGGGATATCAAAAACATCTCTTTTATTTTTATTTTTTTTATACCATGCCATGTTCAAACCCCATTCTGATCTAAACTACAGATGCAGGGGAGATCTTCGGAATACTTGGTGAGAGAAAACACACGTAACATTTTTGCCAGATTTTTAGCTCCAGGGTTAGGAAGCTCCCACACTCTTTGACCAGTTGTGCGAAATCCCACCAATGGCTCTTCCTCTGCCCCACCACCCCAAAACAAAACCTAGAATTGTAGGGCTGGAAGGGACATCGGAGGCCTTCTAGTCCAACCCCCTGCTCGAGGCAGGAGTCCTTATATTATTTCAGACAATCTCTTCTTGAAAACCTCCCGCGATGAAGGCAAGCGGTTCTGCTGATGAACTGTTCTCTCGGGTTTCTCTTCAGTTCTGGGTTGGATCTCTCTTTAATCAACTTCCCGCCTTCAGGTGCTTTGGATAATAAGTTCACCTCCCTCCTTTTTGGGACAGCCCCCAAAGTCCTGGGATGCCCCCCCCCCCACCCCAATCCTAATAGCTGGACTGGTTCCCTTCCTAACCAACTGCTTTGAATTTTCTTCGTTATTAGAAATAGTCACTGGATTAAAAAAAAAAACGGCTGCAAATTCACTGTCAATAGTTTACGGGGTGCAGTTTTGGAGGACTATCCCCGTCATACGTTACAGGTAGTCCTCGACTTACGGCCATAATTGGTCCAGGATGACGGTTGTGATTGCAGTCCCTAAGCAAACACGACAGTCATTAAGCGAATCCATTTTACCTAATGGGCATTTTTTGCTGGAAAAACAGATGCCAGAAACTGTCAAAAAGCATTAAAGTGTGTGTGCGTGTGTACCCATCATAGACTTCGAAATCAGGTTGTAAATCACTTGTGGGTCCATCGTAACAGTCACCAAGCAGCTGGTTGTAAGTTGAGGATTACCTGTAGTTCTTGCCTAGAAAGCTCTAATTTAGTGACTGATCTTGGTGAGAGTCTGTGCAATTTAGTTGTCTCCGTGAGCATTTCATGAGTGGGGAAAGCGTCGTGGCGAAATTAGCAGCCGGGCTGATAAGGTTCTCTCTGGAGAAGGAAGAAGTCAGGAGATCAGCCTCTTGAACTGTGGATAGTTAGATCTCAAGAACTGAGGTTCTTGCACTCGATTGTGCATTGAACAGCTTGGGAGCTGGCAGAAACTGGAGGCCGAGTCAAAAGAGGAACCAGCCTAGAATCCTTACGTAGCCATAAACGGACTAAGTCCAACCTCCTTGCTATTCTGTTGAGCCTTATCTAACTCCAAGCAGCTGCTGATTGTTAGTTGAGAAGATTCTTGTACATAACTTTTCAGCAAGAAATCAGTTTAATTGGATCTTAACATGTAGATTTGCTCTTGCAAGAGACCCGCTAAGGAAACCAACGTGACCCAAAATCGTTACGCAGCCTTTATGGATACGACCTACAGAAACCTCGCTTTCTTATACACTTTTGGATACAACTAATTTACAACTTAAGAGAGATATTCTGAAAGAACAAAAGATACTCGGTGAGCTATCTTCATTTTGTAAGTAGAATGGGGGAAAAAAACTACTATCTTAAAAGAATTTCAATTTAGAAGCCAAAAGCTTAACAAGATTGTGATGCGAGAAAGTTCTAAACGGATAAATGGGATAATATTTTTAGAAAGCAAAAAGATTTTTGTATGTGCGACAAAAGTGTCTTTGGAAATGAAACTTCATCAGAATGCTGCTTATTATTATTATTGTTGTTGTTATTAAAAATAATATTATTAATTTTACAAATAAGAAGGTAAAAGTAAGCTTATCCAAGTGTCCACTGTCACCCCAGTGGAAATAAATGTAGTTTCAGTTTACTTTAGTTTTTGTTTATTTTATTGTCCTTGCACCTCGTACAACGAAATCAAACACCAGCTTCAGTGCACATCATGACCACGAAAATAAACACAAACACACATCCTTCACACTCCACACACTGAATTGGATCAATAACCCAATAGCCACGGAAACGCAGGAAGCCACATGCAAGCCACATCATTACCTTCTTGTGTGGTTTACCTGAGAATTGAGCCAGTAATTTGGTAATGGCGTGTAGTACGGACGACGGCTCGGGAGCAAGCGGGTGAGAAGTTTTCCCAAGACTGACACTGGCGGGAACCAGCATCACGTCGACGGCCTGCTCGAGGCAGAGAGGTCTCTTCTCCAAGGCAGACTTCGCTGGAGCATCGGGCGGGAACTCACAGTACTGTCTGGAATGCCTCCCTCTGGGGGGAGAGAAGAGCGCAGGCCTCTCCATCTCGCCTTTCCTCCCCACCTCTTTGAGGGCTGTGATGGTGATGTGCTCGTGTTCGAAATCTGGCTTGGCTTGGGGCGGCTGCTGGAAGTAGGGCCACGCTCCTTGGGAACGAGCCGCCTTCAGCTCGGCCTCCGAGAACATCTCCACTGGGTCTTCGGGAGACTCACCCCCTTTGGATTTCAAGCACTCCTTCATGAAGTCCATAAAACTCTCACTGCCCAGCCCGTCGGGGCACACCACCTCTTTGACGCTGTCCAAAGTGATCTTCCTCGAAGGATCTTCGGCCTTGGGAGTCTTCCTCGGCACCTCCAGTTCCCCAGCATCGAATGCCTGCTTGGCTTTAGAAGGTTCTCTGGAGGGCTGAGATGCAGGAGAGAGTCTCTCCGCCGGCTGGATTGCTTTGAACTCATCAGCAAATCGCCAACGGCTTTCCAAGGACTGGGAGGCCATTTGGTCTTCCTGAAGCTCATCAGATGCCTCCTCCTCGTCTATATATTCAATTTCTGCTTCAGAAGAGCCTGTGAGTTTGGAGAACCCCTGGCAATTCTCAACCACCAGCTTATTCGGGAATGTCAGGTCATCTGGAGCATCTTCAATGACCGTGTCGTCAGATTCTCCAGAGCTATCCGCATCGGCGGCTTCAGGCAAGCATGGATTTGGCCAGGAGAGCTCGGCTGTCATCTGGACGGCTTCCGGAGGAGCACTTTTCACTGTAGCTATGGCTTGGCCAACCGTGGCTTGATTCTTCTCTACTTTTGGAGACGGCTTGCCTTTTGGGTGGAGGCTGATTGTCACAGGCTGGTGAGCCTTGCCAGTTTCCATATCGCTAGGCCTCGCCACCGGTTCTGGAACACCGCCGCTGGTTTCGGTGGACGAGGCCTTAAAGCCTGCGTTGATAAAGTCATCCCCCTTGTCTTCCAGGTCCTTGGGAATCAAGTCCCAGTTAAGCAGCTCGTTGGTGAAGCTGTGCAGTTCACGGACACATTTGGAGACTTCCTCTAGAGCCGCCGTGGTGCCTGAAGACTGGCGAGAGAGCCCCGGTCCTGAGGGAGGCCGCCCGCTGCTATGGGGTTTTGCCTGGAACTCGCAAATGCTGTCTTCTGGGATGTCAGTCAACAGCTCCCTTTCGCCGTGTATCACCCAGTTGCTCCCGATCTCCTTGGAATTGCTGGTCAGGACCTCTTTGAACTCCGTATCAAATTCCAGTTGGTCAGCAATGACCTCAAAGGGAGATTCGGGGGAGTCTTTTTCCACGGGTGGCTCAACGGCGACCCTGGGAGACGCCGTGGAATGTGAACCGAGAATCTCAGAAGGAACCTTCTCGTGTTCGTCTTCCGAGTTGGCCAACAGTGCAAAGGTGGTGTCTCCTTTTGACGCTCGTTCTGCTTCTGGCTGGCATCCATTCTGATCTGTCTTACCATCCAGAGAACTAGCTCCTTTGAAATTCTCCCGCGGAGGAGTCGCTTCCGTGATGGGGCCGCAGCTATGCATTTTGGATCCAACCGAAAAGGGCAATTCCATTTGGCGAGGAGATCCCACCGATACGGTCTCTATCCTTGAACCTTCCTTGGTCCCTTGGACGCTTCCTTGTTTTGGTCCTTCCAAGACTTCCTCGGATTGGTCTTTGGGGAGAGCAGATTTGCTGTTGGCTTCCCTCTGATTCCCGGAATGTGTTAAATAAACTCCAGCTGATGGGAAAGAAGACAGGAAAGGAGCAGGGAACTGCATCCGGCAAGCTGAACCGGACCCAGGAAGATCCCCCGATTGAAACGGGGATACAGAGAGAGAGAGAGAGAAGGACGCACACAGGATCGGCGACAAAAATGCCACAATCAAGCAGGCAACATGCTCGTCACGAAACGAAAGCCACGATTCTACCCTACCAAACTCTGCGCGCATGCATAAGACCGTCCCCCTGAAGGACAGGAACATCGTAGGGAGGCTGCAATCCATGTAAACGTAAAAAAATAAATAAATAGTGACCAACATTTAATTTCATGGGAGGGACACAGCCGAAGTCAGCCAGAGAGAGAAAGGCAAAAGAACAGATCATGCTGGGCAGGTGAACAGAAGCAGCCACCCCTGCCCCAAATGCAAATAAAACTGTCTCAACAGGTTGTTTGAACAAGGCTCTCCAAACCTGACAGCTTTAAGACTTGTGGACTTCCAACTCCCAGAATTCCTGAGCTAACAAGACTGGAGGAGGAGGAATTCTGGGAGTTGAAGCCCACAAGTCTTAAAGCTGTCAAGTTTGGAGAGCCCTGTTGTAGAAGGTTGTCGGGTGCTTTGCAGGTCAGACAGACGTTGTCGGAATGATACAACCTGGGTTTCCCCTTGCGGTATATCTTATTTCTACGGCTACTTTGGGATCAACGCTTACTTTTGTCTGATCTACTTTGTGCTACTCCTAAAGCAAATATATCATTACAACAGTTTATGGAGTGAACGGTTCAAAACTTCTTGCTCGCAGATGTTTCATCACCAAACTATTTAACACCATCAGTGCTGGAAGGGAGTGAGATGCATTTGCTGTTTATTTACTATAGATAGTCCTTTACAACAGTTCATTTAGTGAACGTTTGAAGTCACAATGGCACTGGAAAAAGGGACTCACGACCGTTTTTTTCCACACTTAACGACCGTTGCAGCACCTCCATGATCAAAATTCGGACATTTGGCAACTGGGTCATATTTACGACGGTCGCAGCATCCCCAGGGTGTGTGTGTGTGTGTGTGTGTGTGTAAGTGTCACCCAATCCCCTTTAGTGCCCTTCCGACAAGCCTAGTCAACGGGGAAAGCTAGATTCCCTTAACAACCTTGTGACTAACTTTAACGAAACTGCAGCGATTCACTTATAACAACCGTGGCAAAGAAACGTGGTAAAACAAGGTAAAAAGTCCCCTTAACAGCCGTCCTGCTGAGCAACAGAAATTCTGGGCTCAACTGTGGTCGTAAGTCGAGGAGTCGCTGTATTGTTTCTTCCAGCTACAACCCTGAAAGATAACGGGCCAGATGACCTGGGGGGAGGGAGGGGAGGGGAGAATATAGGTGGAATACCTGCTTTGCTTGTATCAAGTTTCAAAATTCATGTCCAACATCACCAAGGCCAGGAAAGAACTGAGCAACCTGGAAAGGTAATTCTCAACTTGCAACCGTTCAAGGTTATGATGACCCTCCCCCCAAAAAAACCCCTATTTACAACCTGGTTTTGAAGTTCTGATGTTGCTCCCACCACCACAAAGGTCACATGACTGTGTTTTGGGAGCCCTTACAACCATTTGCAACATATCATGGTCTAATGACCACGATTTACAACGCGTTGGCCAGAAACCGGCGTTTCTTCCAAGTTTCTTGCGGTAAATGCCGATTGTGTATGAGTTCGCTTAACAACCAAATGCTCATTTAATGATTGCTGGGGGGGGGGGAATGGTCGTAAAGTCAGGTCTGCTCACCTGGTGCCTTGATTTATGACCGTCACGACTTAAAAATGGTAACTGCCAGGCTTAACTACAGTTGTAACTGGAGGACTACCCGTATTGGAGATGGTGATGCGGTGGTTGGAAAGCAGTACTGCAGGCTACTTCTGCTGACTGCTGGCTGCCAGCAGCTCGAACCTCACCAGGCTCAAGGCTGACTCAGGCTTCTGTCCTTCTGAAGTGGCTAAAAGGAGGAGCCAGATTGTTGAGGGCAAGAGGCTGACTCTGTAAACTACTAAGAGAGGACTGTAAAGCACTTTGAAGCGGTATATAAGTCTAAGTACTATTGCTATTACCCTCCCTCCCTCGTGGTTATAATGCAATATTTCAGGCTAACTCTGCCAGCAGTTCAATCCTGACCGGCTCAAGGTTGACTCAGCCTTCCGTCCTTCCGAGGTCGGTAAAATAAAGACCCAGATTTCTGGGGGCAAGAGGCTGACTCTGTAAACTGTGCTTGGAGAGGGCTGGGAAGCACTGGGAAGTGATACGTAAGTCTAAGTGCTATTGAGCCAAACAGATCCCAAATCCAAACATCTATTTTCTCACGAATGCCAAGGAATTCCATTCCCCAAGCGGGAACATCCATTTCCGGACATGACCCAGCTGCAACTTTCAGAAATCCCAACCGTAATCCTAAACTATCTAGAAGGCACTAGATTAGGAGAATACGCAGAATCAAGGCAACCGAAGTTCCAAGCCCAAAAAGAAAATTAGCTGGGCTAAATTCAGGGAAGCTCATTTTTCCTGGGTGTGGGCAGGGATTATCAAAGTGGAATGGTGTGCCAACTCCTGAAGGCATCATCCCCCCCACACACACACACACTGGGAAAAAACCCCCCACATCTTTTTTGGTTACGCAGGAGATTTGTCTTCCGAAATCACCCACAAGACAGGCTGTTTTCTTAAACAAGCGCAGGGAAAGATGCAGGAAATATTAATGCAGGGTTGTTTTCTGAGCTATCGGTGCTTTTCTTTAAGACGTTTCACGACCCAACTGGGTAACGTCATCAGTGGTACACGAGAATGGGGTTTGCTCTCTCAAGGTTCAACCCCAAGTTACAAATATTCTCTTCAATCGGACATCGTGCTTAAGGGATATAGGAACTGTGTTCTCCAGGAGTTAAAGGAAGATTATGGTCAGCTTCCCCCCCCCCCCCGTTAGATTTAAGTGATAAAGGCAATTTTTGCAATCTTAATACACACCACCTATCACTTAACATCGGATTGCACCATTGATCAATGGGAAGCCAGGGGAAAACATGCTCCAGCCTGCAGGCACTTCTAGTGTGACCTTCGCAACACCTTTAATATTTGCAGTTGAACATGGAGTCTTTCGTGTTCGACCCCTGAAAACTGGAAACACACCTGTGAGCGGAACTCTCAGAACAAGGCAACTCAGCCTCAACGTGCATTTTGGTTATCGGCAGAAGCACCTCGCTTCCAAACCCTTCCATCTGTCGACAACACCCGGGCTAAAAAGATGCACGGGAGACCCGAAAAGAAACTCTTCTGACACGCCAGAGAAGCTTAGCCAAAAAAAATCTTCGCTTCTACTCTCAGCAGCCACGCAATCTCAACAGGCCAAAGCTTTTCTGTACCAGCCTTAATGAAAGGGCTCGTGCTTTTCAAAAATGTGCTTTCTGCGGGGATAATGAGTGGGGTTTCTCCCAGAAGTACAGTACGTTTTGGAAAGAAAGAAAGAAAGAAAGGAGGGAGGGAGGGAGGGAGGGAGAGAGAGAGAGAGAAAGAAAGAAAGAAAGAAAGAAAGAAAGAAAGAAAGAAAGAAAGA